CGAGTTAAAAGAACTCAGGACAACTCTTAGAGATGATGGAGCTTGTTCTGTGTGGGGGAAGGCACAGCTTAATTCATTAATCCTTAATTTAAACACCTCTCAAGATTGGAAAGATATGAGGGAAATCTTTTTAAAACCTCCCATATGTGCTCACTGGAAATCAGATCTAACTACTAGTGAGCTGCCAATATGGGTTACGTGGAAGGATCCATAAGATCAAGTATGGAAAGGACCCGATCCTTTACTAACCGTTGGGAGAGGTTTTGCTTGTATTTTCCCACAGAACCACATCCTGTGTGGGTACCTGCTCATCATGTCCGATTCCAATCCACCTACTGAGAAGATGCACTGATTGAGCGACCATGACAAGATGAGACAAAGGAAAAGGAAGTTGAACCCTAGACGCCACAGACACCTGTGACCTGGGGCATGCTGAAGGCACTCAACCAATAGGCTTTTGACCTTCACCCTGGGAGTGGTACACCCAGTGGTTCTGTGTTTATAACACTGCTTATTGCTGCTTTGACTGTCAATAGTACCACAGAAGGAGAACTAAGCTGGTTTTGTAAGCTTTTGTTTCTTCACCCACATTTCCTATATGTACGTGGCTCTCCTTCGCTATCCTAGATTCATCTCCCAATCCAATCTGGAAATCAAGTTATGGTAATTCTAACCTTTTCTGTTATCTCACCAGTTGTCATTACAAGAGCAACTTGTTACAAGTAGACCGACCTCTTCACAAGATATAATGCCCAAGCAGCTGCACTGAATACTCTTTCTACCCTTACTGTCATTGGTTCACGGTCCTCCCAAGAAACACTGGAGGTCCTACACCAAGACTTTCCCCTCTCTGAATTCATTTAAAAGACAAAGGGAGGAGATGTTGGGGAGGGAGGGCCTCTGGCCAGGATAGATCGCCTAAGCTCTGGATAAGTGCAAGCCTCCCAATGGCCTTTAATACGGGGTAGAGAAAGCCCCCCTGTGTTTGGCTATATGGGCTTGAGCAAGTTTGCCACCTGATTGCCCCATCTGTTGAGCTCGGAGTAGTCCACACAAGGGTGAGGTTCTCTTGACCAATTCGCATGTCCCTCATCTGCAAGCCCACCCTATCCTTTCTTCCTGTTTACTTGTTCATATATAAATGTGCTGCAGCCCCCAATAAAATTGAGCTGGATCGACTCCCTGGATGGCTCCCAAAGTGATGTGCCTCTGTCGTGCTTACCCCCATCAGGGTGTTGCTATTCGTTGCTGGCGAATGGAGAGCAACAGGAACAGACTCATAAGTCCCAGGACAACAACATTTTATTATGGAGTCCTAGTAGTAATGGTTAAACACTTCATTGCTCAACAAAAGGTTTGCAATTTGCCCCCTCGGACAAAGATGGGAGTACCAGCTTCTGTAAAGATTATACCCTTAGAGGCAGTTCTCTTCTGTCCTGCTGCTGTTAGGTCCAGTTGAATACGACCTGTAGTGACCTGAGGAACAGATCTGAAGCCTGTCCTGTCCTGTCCCACACTCACCATCATTGACATAATTGAGACCATTACTATTGCTCTTCCTCCCTTTTGCTGATTCTCAATCTTTAAAAGCCTGATACCCCTTTCTAAGGAATGTTGTTGTTGTGTATTACTGAGTCAGAACTGACCCACAGAGGACCCTCCAGTATGTTTTCAGAGGCAGTTAATCATATGGGAGGAGACTGCCATTCTCCCATGAAGCAGTTGGTGGATTCGAACCACGTGCCTCTGGGTTGGCAGTGCAACTCCAAACCACCAAGACACCAGAGCTCTCTTTTCTAAGGAACAGCTCCTTCCAACAGCATGTTCAAAATACATGAGACAGAGCTTCCCCATTCTTGCCGCTACGAAGCACTCTAGCTGCACTTTCTTCAAGACCTATTTGGCTGCTCATGGGATATTCAGCCCTGTCCTCCAGCATCACATTTTAAAGGCTCCATCTCTTCTTCTGTCATCCTTATTCACGGTACAGCTCACACGTGCACAGCAGGTGACTGAAAAGATCACGGTGGGAATCAGGCATACCTTGTCTTCAAGCTGGCATCACTGCTCTTCAGGGCTCTGGAGAAGTGCCCGACAGCAGACATTCCCAGTCTTAACACATCTGATCTCCTGACCGCTTGCAGAGGGGGCCACAGTGAATCAGCACCGACACAATGGCACTGCGGTTGGCATTTTTGTGTTTTAAGGATTTACCGCCTCCTTTATTTTTGTTTTCTAGGTGCATCAGAGAGTTGGACAATGACTAGGGAGGACAGAAGGAGAGTGGATGCTTTTGAGCTGTGGTGCTGGAGAAGGGTACGGAATGTATCATGGACTGCCAGGAAAACAAACAGATTCATCTTGGAGAGGATTAAACCAAGCTACTCCTTGGAGGCAAGGATTCTGGGGCTTCGTCTGACATACTTTGGACATGTTGCCAGGAGGGACGGGTCCTTGGAGAGGGACATCATGCTTGGGAGGGTGGAGGGACAGCGCAGGAAGGGAAGACCCTCTATGAGATGGATTGATTCGGTGACTGGGGTAATTGGGATGGGTGTGTCAGAGGCGGTGCGGTTGGCGCAGGATAGAGCAGGGTTTAGGGCTGTTGTGCATAGGGTCACTATGAGTCGCAAACGACTCGACGGCACATAACAACAGCAGGTACATAGGGGAGTCACAGCACAGGAGAGGAAGACCTTGGAGGAGATGGATTGATACAGTAACTAGGGTAATGGGGGTGGGTGTATTTGAGTCAGTCAGACTGGCTCTGGACAGGACAGGTTTCAGAGCTGTTTTACAAAGGGTCACTATGAGTCACAGGCAACTTGAAGGCACATCAACAACAACAGATACATGGCTGAAATGTAATGAGTTAGTGACAAAAGAAAATACTTTAACTAAACTTTATGAATATTAAAGCACTAGGCCATAAATGCCTGAGAAAGGCCAGCTAACAAGAAAACAGCCTTTCTTGAATTCTTTCAAACGCTTCAAGGTTTTAAGTGGAACACATCACAGCTGATGATGACATTACTAAGAGTTTTCCACATGATTAATATGTAGTTAATAAAAGATGTTGTTGTTGTTATGTGCCGTCGAGTCGTTTGTGACTCATAGCGACCCTATGTACAACAGCCCTAAACCCTGCTCTATCCTGTGCCAATCACACTACTTCTGACATACCCATCCCGATTACCCCAGTTACTGAATCAATCCACCTCATAGAGGGCCTTCCCCTCTTGCGCTGTCCCTCTATCCTACCAAGCATGATGTCCTTCTCCAAGGACCTGTCTCTCCTTACAACATGTCCAAATAAAAGATAGAGCATGATTTTCTTCTGTTTTGAAAGGTAGGGGAAATCACAAAATGAAAAGTGTCACATGTGCAATGCTGCCATCTGAGTTGTTGTGACGGTTTCACACATGAACTCGGGGAATTGCTTGCTCTTTTCAAAGTATGGTAACTGTGATAGTCAATTCATCTAGCTCATCTTGGAGGACTGCTTCCATAAGAAAAATGGTTAGGATCTGTTTCTGAAGGGGTTCTATTGAGGGAGCTCTGGTGGCCTCGTGGGTAAAGGGCTGCACTGCCAATCCAAAGGCAGGGAGTCTGGATCCATGAGCTGCCTGGCGGAGAAAGGACGGGCCATCTCCTCCTGTGCCTTTTACAACCTCTGAAAATCCACCGGAGAGTCAGCTCTGAGTTAGGCACAAACTGACAGTACGTAATAACAACATATTCAGTACTTATTACACATCAAGTGTACATTCATTTACTACTTTCTTAACAGAAAATCTTGCAAGGGATTTAATAAAAAAAAAAAAAGTCAACTTACAACACTGCACTTAGACTAGCAATTTTTAACTCACTTTCCATGGTTGAATTATTGATTATAATTTTACTAAATACTCGTCTTATACACCATGGCATAAGCACCAATTTTATAGTTACATGGGTTTCATAAAGTACTGTCCACTTGAACAACTTTTTCTAAATGGAATATATTTAGAAAGGTGATGCATATTGGAAATGTCAGTGAAGCACTATTCTAGGAACTCAGTGATAATAAAATAATGTTCCCAAGAGTGATGACAGAGTAGAGACATGCTGGCAAAACTATACAAATAAAGAAAACTGTAAACCCAAACTTCCTCCAACCTTCAGCCCAGTAAAACACCATGATTCAAGTGAAGCTGGAGTTTTCAGGTAGCCTTGGCTGAGCAGAAGGGGGTGAGAACGAGGATTCGTTCAGGTGAGCTACGAAGCAGGCTACTGCATAGTGTTTTCACATCACCTAGTGACGGTGGTTATGACCCAAAACGCCCTGAATGACTTTTTCACGGGTGGGGACATAGGTTGGGAGAACTTAGGAAACTGTTCACAACTTAACTAAGGAGTGTTGGGTGGGGCTGGATTTCAACTCTGTGATACTCTCACAGGGACAATGGCCTTCAGAAGCTGTTCACCTGTACACTCTGGGGATGGTTTACCTGTCATCAGGGTTACAACCTCTACTGTAAGATTTCCTTAGGAGACTTGACCCCAATCTCCCTCCTTCCTAGTATAAAGGTCACTCTGTTCAGGGAGTGCTTTGGGAGCTCTAGACTTCAAGAGACTCAGGGCCCAAGGCCAGTTAGAAAAGGGCAGCCCCTGACTGTCAGCCCTGAGCCCTGAGCCCTGTCTGTTTTCCTGCAAAGCTTTTTAGCCGCCTTCTTGCATTTTTAACACCACTGACATGATTTTATTGGCTAAAGCAATGTTTTGGTTTCAAATCATTCCATGGGGGGACGGGGGGCTGTTTATGAAAAGCAACATATTCTATAAACATCTTATATCCGTCCACCTATTAAGAAAGCGGAATCTTTAAATAGGTAGGGTCAAAGCATGAACCAATCGTATCAACCACCCTAAAATCTACTCAAGTGATTATTTCTTTTAATAAGGACGAGTAGAAAAATAATGAACTCAAACATTTCAAACAGGGCTGAGCTTACACTTACCTTAAGCCATAACAAGGCAAAGTGAAGAGCCGGAACAACGCCAGGAAGACTCTTAAAGGAAGCAGGGTGAACACATAGAGAAAGGCATCCAGGCACAGAAAGATTCCAAAAACCATTAGCTGCATTTTAAACACAGAGAAAGGAGGGGGGATTAAAATTACTCTTTAATTACAGTGAAAAACTTTGAGCAAAGAATTTCTAAAATTTGTGGGAAATGGATTTCTTAAAATTTAACTGTGGGAATAGCAAAGTAATAGTTCTATTTGTGACATGAGTCTTAATTTAACAAAAGTCCTTTTCCAAAGTACTAGTCTGTGTTTCTTCTTCCTGATCCCAAATTCAACTACGCGAGAGACATGCTGCTCTTGGCCATGGCTATGAATCACCTGGCAGGGCTTTCTGTACACTTCCCCCAACTCGGCAGGTATCATAGTACCTTCAGAGAAAACTTTCACAAGTCTCACTTTACTCCTGCATTAATTTTCCTAGTAACTTATCAGAAGGCTTCACTGGGGGACAAGAACAAAGGACATACAGAGGACAAACATGGCTTCTTTATATCAAAGTACAATGATAGCAATTTTAATATATTTCATGTGCACACTTTTAATGCAAGGAGACCAGCTGCCTGCATGGTGGCCTTTCTCCTTTCTTGGATCCTGGTCACAGTGCTCCTTTCGGGGGGCAGGGATGATGAAATACAATTTCAGTGGTGAAGCTGAGGACCCTCTTCCTCAGCAGGAGGGTGGAGTCTTCCGAGGGCTTGGACAGCAGCCCCCCCAGAGGGTGGGTCACCAGTGTGAGCTCTGTCGGTACAGTACAGCCCGTGGGTCTGAAGCACATCAGGGTCCACGCCTGCACCCTCACGTGTTGCACTTCTTATTATCTCTGGCTGATGAGAAACTGTCCTCCATAAGTCTACCAGCTAAAATCCATACCACCGGCTGAAAGGGTGCACAACAGTAATTTTTTTGAGGAATAATACTTCTCTCTCTCTCTCTCTCACACACACACACACACACATACACACACACCCCCTCTTAACCAGGATATTTTTTTGGTTCCTGATGGGTCCCTGCTCCTGCATCTTTTTCCCTCTTTTGTTAAGATTCACACTCACTATGAACGACAATGGGAGTGGGCAGCATGTCCAAGGCCACACTTCTAGTCTTCCCTCTACAACGGTGGTCCCTTTTCAGCCCAGTCAGTTTGGCCTCTATTTTCTTGTGTTTCAGGAGCCAGCAGGAGACTGAGCCAGGGCCATGTGCAGTCAGAGGAGGTGTCTGTCCTCTCCTGTCACTAGAAGCCTTCCTGTTTTCTAGACAAGCAGGCACGTGGGAGCGGCCAGGAGCCGGCGTTCCCTGGGGCCTTTTGGTGTGTCCATAAGACAGAGGGCACCCGGAAGGACAGGAGGTGGCTGTCCTCCTCAGGAGCTGACACAGGGGATAAATACATTATCTATTCATTCAACCTTTACTAAGCTCTTCATGTGAGCCAACAAACACACTCTCAGCCAGGGGCAAGTCCAGGACACCAGGCGGGTCCTGCTGGGCAAGTCATTGTCCTTGAGCACAAGGAGACACCAGCAAGTGGACCAGGGAGACCCATCCACCGCCTTGCAGAAGGACGGGCAGTCTCCTCCTGTGTGACTTACTGCCTTGGGAATTGGCCCGAGTCCTTTCTGTTCGGCTGGCCCTGAGTTACGGGAAAAGTGGAGGGAGGCAGGCGAAGGTGGCCAGCGCAGAACTACAGACCTGGGACGGGCAGCAGGCAAGCACCAGCCAGCCAGCCAGGAGGGTGCCAAACCACGCCTTGGCAGATCTAGAAACATCTCCACCTGAGAGGAGACCCCTGAGGGGATGAGGAGGGGTGCCAGGTAGGAGATGGCAGATGAGGGGTGGGGGTGGGGAGGGGGTGGGCCAGAGCACAGAAGTGGGTAAACCTCCTCAAATAGCAAAAATTATAGCCGCTCAGGGTGAGAGGCAACTGCCTTAGCAGCGGTCAAGAAATGTAACAAACTCCCCCTAGGCTGCTCCTTAAACAGTTACAGCAACAAAGTGACATCAGGCCAGGCTGCCCGCTGACCCCAAGGGATCTCCTGGAGAGAGAGATCACACATGTGCCCCTTGGGGTCTGGGAATGTGGAAGGGTAGGCAAACCAGGTGTCCATCCAATGAATGGATAGAAACACTATGGTACAGTCACACAATGGAATACTACACAGCACTGAAAAACAACAAACTCATAAAACAGTACACAACATGGGGGAGAGCATCCTGAGTGAAATATCTCAGTCCTAAACGGACAAATACTGCATAGCCCCACTGTTATGAAGCAGGTCTGACATGGGGGGTTGGGAGGAGAATAGGATTAATAGTGGATAGATATATAACATTGGAACAGATCAAAGAACTGCTTAAAAGAGATATATGATTAGGCATTATATGTACAAAAGCCCAGAATAAGAGGTATATCATTGCAAAGAGGACTGATGTGGGGTGAGGTGGGTAATTCTGCAACAATGAATGAATATTTTAAGAAAAAAAGCAAACTGGGGAAGAGGAAGGAAGAGGGGGTATAAAATGTGCAACAGTTACTGAATGAAAACCTAACTGCTCTGTGAACGTTCATTAAAATCACAAAGTTTTATTTAAAAAAATAAATACAAAGGCACAATTTAAAATTCTTTACAAAGGAAAAGGGGTGCATTTCATATTCAAGAAGGTAGGATAGGAGCATGGGTGTCTTCGATGCTAGACGAAGGGGAAAGGCTGGCCCTTCACACAGCCTGGGCCTGGGCCTGGCCAGTGGCCGCACCTGGACACTGCATGTACTTCACCCAAGACCCAGGAACTGAGAGCATACAGGAGCCCCAACCTGCCCACGCAGCACCAGCCTGCCCTGGGCATGGACCCCCAGCCTGCCCGGGTCATGGAGCCCCAGCCTGCCCTGGACATGCAGCCAAGTACTGACTACCGAATCCTCCTCCTAGCAGCCCATGGGATGGCTCTTAGCATCCTCTGCTTGATACAGAGAAGCCCACAGCTCTGCAGATGAAACACAGGAAGTACTCAGCAAAATGGAAGGCAGAGAGATTAAAAAGATGGGCTTGAATGTACCTACAACAGCGGGGACGACACAAGGCACTTCTTTCTGTTCTAAGCAGGATGTGATGTGAAGAGTTGGACTGGACAACTAACCAACGAGAGAGGCGGAAAACTAGCCCCAGGCTGTGGGATAGAGGAGGGAAACGGGACTCGGCCCCTTTTCTCTGCCACACACCCCTTCTTTGAAGCAGAAAGACACAACAGAAGATGTCACCTGCTATTTCTATCAGACAAAGGGGTGGTTAAGACCATTTTTTTTATGCCCATAGTCTTGCCAATTTGCCTTGCTGTTGTTTAATGCTGTCGAATCGAGTATGACTCACAGCAACCCGATGAACAACAGAGCTGAACCTTGTGCCGTCCTCACAATCAAGTATGACTCAGTGACCCTACGAACAACAGATCTGAACCCTGTCCTATTCTTCTGCGCCATCCTCACACTCACTGACACACTCGAGCACACTGCTGCAGTCTCTGTGTCAGTCCATCTGGTTGGGGACCTTCCTCTCCCTCACCGACCCTCCACCTTTCCAACCATGATGTCCCTCTCTGAGGAATAGCCTCTCCTAGCAACATGTCTAAAGTATATGAGACAAAGCTTAAGCTTCTTTGCCTCCAATGCGCAATCTGGCTGCCCTTTCTCCAAGACACACTTGTCTAGTCCATGAGACATTCAGCACTCTTCTCCAACACCATGGCTTAAAGGTATCGATTATTCTGTCATTCTTCATTTACTATGCAGCTCTCAGATGTGTGTAGCAGGTGACTGAAAAGACCATGACTTGAATCAACTGCACCTTAGTATTCACACTGACATCATTCCTCCGCAGTAATGTGGAGAGGTCTCTGACAGCAGGCTTGCTCAGTGCAATACTTCTCCAGATCTCTTGACTGCTGGTACGAGGGGGGTTGATTGTGGATCCAAGGAAGATGAAATCATTAACAATTTCAACTTTTCTCCACCTATCATAATGTTGCTTCTTGGTCCAGTGGTGAGGATTTTTCTTTTCTTGTTGCTGAGATGCAATCCATGTTGGAGGCTTTAGTCTGTACTTTGACAGTTAAGTATTTCAAGTCCCCTCACTTTCAGCAAGTAAGACTGTGACATCTGCATAACACACATTATTGATGAGTCTTGCTCCAATCCTGAAGCCATATTCTTCTCCATAAAGTCCAGCTTCTTGAAAGATTTGCTCAGCACAGAGATTAAAAAGATATGTAAAATGATACAACAGTGGCACACAGCATATCTGATTTTAAACACCACCTGCATAACACAGATGGTTTGGACAACAGCTGCCTGATCTAGGTTTAAGTCTTGTATGAGCATAATTTTTTTAAAAAAAAGGTAGAAAGAGTAGGTATTATTAATCAAACTGATAAAATATTTAGAATTATTGCTGGGTTTCAAAGCCTGTCATTAAGAAGTGAAGTGGAGTACATGTTATTAACAAGGAAAACCTATAATTTGACAGCTTCACTGAATGTGTATGGCTGTATCTTGATACAAACAGTAATTACAATTTCCTCTTTATTTGGATCAAATCACCATAAAGTGCACGTTCTTAAGGAATGGCTACAGAACCCTGGTGGCACAGAGGTTAAAGCATTCACCCACTAACCAGAAGGTCAGCTGCCCGCGTCTATGCAGATTTACAGCCTTGGAAACTGTACGGGGGGCAGTTTGACTGTCCAGTAAGGTCACTGCTACAGTCAGAGGTCAGAATGGACTCAACAGCAGTGAGGTTTTTTTTGTTAGCAGTTTTGTTTGGAGGCAATGACTAACAAAACTTCCTCCTAACAGTCACAAGGTACGCTAAGGAGTGATGGAACTGGCGCCAGAAGCCATCCTGTTTTTCTTTTGATAAACACAATGAATTTGGAATTACAAAATAAAATGGTATGGCAAACGTGAAGGACCAGAATGTTGTTTTTGTTACTGGGTGTCACGGGACTGGTCCCGACTCGGACTGAGCCGTGTCCGACAGTATGTGACACTGCCCGGGCCTGCA